CCGGCCACGGCCGGGAGTGCCCGGGACGAGTCGCCGCGTCCTCGCACCGCTGCGGGCCGGGGGCAGCGCCGAGAGCAGCCCCCTCACCCCCGGGGTCAACCGGGGCTCACCGGGCGGCACAACCTTTGCACGGAGCGGGGAACGCCCGGGAGCGGCGCCTGCGGGAGACACCTCGTTGCGGGGCCGCGGCGGGGGCAGATCCTGCGTGGGGACGGGACCCTCCGCCCGGGACCGACCCCCCCCGTCCGCCGCGGGTACGGCGGGGACCGGGCGCCCGGCACCGCAGAGTGCTGGATGTCCCCAGCCCCCCCGCGCCGTGCGGAGCCAAGGCCGGCGACACCGTCCCTGCCCGTGTCACCCCCCGCCACCTCCCCCCTCACCCAGGGCGACGTGGTGGCGCGGGGATGGACGAGCGGTTGCGGGAGCTGCGGCTGCGGGAGGAGCGGACGTTCCTGCGGAGCGTGGTGCGGGGGGAGCCCGCCGAGCAGCCCCCCGACCGGCGGGAGAGCCGGACCCCGGCCATCGTCCCCGAGCCCTTGGCCAGCGACGCCGCCCTCTGCGTGCCCGGTAGCCCCAAGTCGCGCAGGTAGCCGCCGGGGAGCGGAGGGGGGAGTCACGGCGGGGGGGGGGTGGCCGGTGCTGCCCTGCCCGTGCCCCCGCGCCCCCAGGGACCTGGAGCTGATCGGGGAGGCGGTGGGACGCAACGAGTTCCTGCGGCGACTGGGCGAGGGCTGCCCCGAGACGCTGGCCCAGAGCCTGGCCCCGGTCCGGCACGGCCCCGGCCACACGGTGCTGGCCGAGGGCGACGAGGGGACCACCATGTACATCGTGGCGGGTGAGAGCGCGGCGAGGAGGGAGGGTCACACGCGTGGGTGTGCACCGGGGTGAGCTCCTCTGCCGTGCGTGTCGGGGGGTGGCACACACGTGTGTCTGTGTGTGTGCCCGCGCACACCCGTGTGCGTGTGCCCTCTCTGCGAGGGACGCACCACCCGCGTGTGCACATACGAGGCCGCCTGCTGCGGGGCACGTGTGTGTGCACACGCGCGTACGTGTGCCCGGGTGTGCGTGAGCGTGCGGGCCGTGTCTCCCCGCAGAGGGCCAGCTCAGCGTCAGCCAGCGGGGCCGGCAGCTCCGCACGCTGGGGCCGGGGGACGTCTTCGGGGAGCTGGCCATCCTCTACCACTGCCGGCGCACCGCCACCGTGCGGGGTGAGCCCCCCCCGCCCCACGGACCCCCC